TGAAAGGAATGGGTACTAGACCTGTCCTCTAGCTGTCTTCAGTCCATAACAGCTGCCCTCTAGGTCCAGGATAACCCCAAAGATGGGAAGCAAATTCAAAAATGCTATGAGCTGAAATGCCATATTAGCATCGTTCATGATGCACGTGTCCACGTTACATTCCGTGCCCTGCCTTGTGAATTTTAAAGACGACTGGAATGTTGGAATTATCTGAAATGAAACGAGCCAAGGAATTGAACACAAAACCTATTCATGACACCTCCGCTGCGATGGCCGAGAGGTTAAGGCGTTGGACTCGAAATCCAATGGGGTTTCCCCACGCAGGTTCAAACCCTGCTCGTAGCGTGTCAGCAGCAGATGAGCATATTGACATCATCTGATTTTACCTGAGGTAGAAAGAATTACACTGGACTGAGCAAAAGCACACCTTGGAATTCATTCTGTCACATTTAATGAAAAATGAACCTACCTTTTAGGGAATCAAAATCTGATCTTCAATGTGGTAGGTGTCAACACTGTGTAAGTAATCACTACACAGACTTTCCAGCTCTTACAGGTAGATGTATGCATTGTACCCCTTTTATGGCCACGTGACATAGACTCACGGCCCCCAGACGGAAGCTAGGAAGTTCTTCCCATGTATGGGGTATGCTCGCTGAACCCTTGGGTTGAGTAGTGGACGCACAATTGGCGCACGGCACAGTCGCTGTCAACCTCCATAGCCCATCCTGATGGTCAGACCGCCTGAACGGAGAAACGGCTTCAGTCGTGGAAGCTACTATTTGGTACAGAGGGGTAGGAGGTAAGGCATAATAAAGGTTCACGTGACCGAATGGAGCAAAAGAACACTTGGTGTCATAGTCAGGCTTGAGGCTACTTGGGATGAAAGGAATGGGTACTAGACCTGTCCTCTAGCTGTCTTCAGTCCATAACAGCTGCCCTCTAGGTCCAGGATAACCTCAAAGGTGGGAAGCAAATTAAAGAATGCTATGAGCTGAATTGCCATATTAGCATCCTTCATGATGCACGTGTCCACGTTACATTCCGTGCCCTGCCTTGTGAATTTTAAAGACGACTGGAATGTTAAAATTATCTGAAATGAAACGAGCCAAGGAATTGAACACAAAACCTGTTTACAAAACCTGTTTACGACACCTCCGTTGTGATAGTTGAGAGGTTAAGGCGTTGGACTCGAAATCCAATGGGGTTTCCCCACGCAGGTTCAAACCCTGCTCGTAGCATGTCAGCAGTAGACGAGCATATTGACATCATCTGATTTTACCTGAGGTAGAAAGAATTACACTGGACTGAGCAAAAGCACACCTTGGAATTCATTCTGTCACATTTAATGAAAAATGAACCTACCTTTTAGGGAATCAAAATCTGATCTTCAATGTGGTAGGTGTCAACACTGTGTAAGTAATCACTACACAGACTTTCCAGCTCTTACAGGTAGATGTATGCATTGTACCCCTTTTATGGCCACGTGACATAGACTCACGGCCCCCAGACGGAAGCTAGGAAGTTCTTCCCATGTATGGGGTATGCTCTCGTGAACCCTTGGGTTGAGTAGTGGCACGCCAATTGGCGACGCGGCACAGTCGCTGTCAACCTCCATAGCCCATCCTGATGGTCAGACCGCCTGAACGGAGAAACGGCTTCAGTCGTGGAAGCTACTATTTGGTACAGAGGGGTAGGAGGTAAGGCATAATAAAGGTTCACGTGACCGAATGGAGCAAAAGAACACTTGGTGTCATAGTCAGGCTTGAGGCTACTTGGGATGAAAGGAATGGGTACTAGACCTGTCCTCTAGCTGTCTTCAGTCCATAACAGCTGCCCTCTAGGTCCAGGATAACCTCAAAGGTGGGAAGCAAATTAAAGAATGCTATGAGCTGACTCACGGCCCCCAGACGGAAGCTAGGAGTTCTTCCCATGTATGGGGTATGCTCGCTGAACCCTTTGGGTTGAGTAGTGGACGCACAGGGCGACGGCACAGTCGCTGTCAACCTCCATAGCCCATCCTGATGGTCAGACCTCCTGAACGGAGAAACGGCTTCAGTCGTGGAAGCTACTATTTGGTACAGAGGGGTAGGAGGTAAGGCATAATAAAGGTTCACGTGACCGAATGGAGCAAAAGAACACTTGGTGTCATAGTCAGGCTTGAGGCTACTTGGGATGAAAGGAATGGGTACTAGACCTGTCCTCTAGCTGTCTTCAGTCCATAACAGCTGCCCTCTAGGTCCAGGATAACCTCAAAGGTGGGAAGCAAATTAAAGAATGCTATGAGCTGAATTGCCATATTAGCATCCTTCATGATGCACGTGTCCACGTTACATTCCGTGCCCTGCCTTGTGAATTTTAAAGACGACTGGAATGTTAAAATTATCTGAAATGAAACGAGCCAAGGAATTGAACACAAAACCTATTTATGACACCTCCGCTGCGATGGCCGAGAGGTTAAGGCGTTGGACTCGAAATCCAATGGGGTTTCCCCACGCAGGTTCAAACCCTGCTCGTAGCGTGTCAGCAGTAGATGAGCATATTGACATTATCTGATTTTACCTGAGGTAGAAAGAATTACACTGGACTGAGCAAAAGCACACCTTGGAATTCATTCTGACACATTTGATGAAAAATGAACCTACCTTTTAGGGAATCAAAATCTGATCTTCAATGTGGTAGGTGTCAACACTGTGTAAGTAATCACTACACAGACTTTCCAGCTCTTACAGGTAGATGTATGCATTGTACCCCTTTTATGGCCACGTGACATAGACTCACGGCCCCCAGACGGAAGCTAGGAAGTTCTTCCCATGTATGGGGTATGCTCGCTGAACCCTTGGGTTGAGTAGTGGACACACAATTGGCGCACGGCACAGTCGCTGTCAACCTCCATAGCCCATCCTGATGGTCAGACCTCCTGAACGGAGAAACGGCTTCAGTCGTGGAAGCTACTATTTGGTACCGCAGGGGGTAGGAGGTAAGGCATAATAAAGGTTCACGTGACCGAATGGAGCAAAAGAACACTTGGTGTCATAGTCAGGCTTGAGGCTACTTGGGATGAAAGGAATGGGTACTAGACCTGTCCTCTAGCTGTCTTCAGTCCATAACAGCTGCCCTCTAGGTCCAGGATAACCTCAAAGGTGGGAAGCAAATTAAAGAATGCTATGAGCTGACTCACGGCCCCCAGACGGAAGCTAGGAAGTTCTTCCCATGTATGGGGTATGCTCGCTGAACCCTTGGGTTGAGTAGTGGACGCACAATTGGCGCACGGCACAGTCGCTGTCAACCTCCATAGCCCATCCTGATGGTCAGACCTCCTGAACGGAGAAACGGCTTCAGTCGTGGAAGCTACTATTTGGGCACAGGGGTAGGAGGTAAGGCATAATAAAGGTTCACGTGACCGAATGGAGCAAAAGAACACTTGGTGTCATAGTCAGGCTTGAGGCTACTTGGGATGAAAGGAATGGGTACTAGACCTGTCCTCTAGCTGTCTTCAGTCCATAACAGCTGCCCTTTAGGTCCAGGATAACCCCAAAGATGGGAAGCAAATTCAAAAATGCTATGAGCTGAAATGCCATATTAGCATCGTTCATGATGCACGTGTCCACGTTACATTCGCGTCCCCGCCTTGTGAATTTTAAAGACGACTGGAATGTTGGAATTATCTGAAATGAAACGAGCCAAGGAATTGAACACAAAACCTATTCATGACACCTCCGCTGCGATGGCCGAGAGGTTAAGGCGTTGGACTCGAAATCCAATGGGGTTTCCCCACGCAGGTTCAAACCCTGCTCGTAGCTTGTCAGCAGCAGATGAGCATATTGACATCATCTGATTTTACCTGAGGTAGAAAGAATTACACTGGACTGAGCAAAAGCACACCTTGGAATTCATTCTGTCACATTTAATGAAAAATGAACCTACCTTTTAGGGAATCAAAATCTGATCTTCAATGTGGTAGGTGTCAACACTGTGTAAGTAATCACTACACAGACTTTCCAGCTCTTACAGGTAGATGTATGCATTGTACCCCTTTTATGGCCACGTGACATAGACTCACGGCCCCCAGACGGAAGCTAGGAAGTTCTTCCCATGTATGGGGTATGCTCGCTGAACCCTTGGGTTGAGTAGTGGACGCACAATTGGCGCACGGCACAGTCGCTGTCAACCTCCATAGCCCATCCTGATGGTCAGACCGCCTGAACGGAGAAACGGCTTCAGTCGTGGAAGCTACTATTTGGTACAGAGGGGTAGGAGGTAAGGCATAATAAAGGTTCACGTGACCGAATGGAGCAAAAGAACACTTGGTGTCATAGTCAGGCTTGAGGCTACTTGGGATGAAAGGAATGGGTACTAGACCTGTCCTCTAGCTGTCTTCAGTCCATAACAGCTGCCCTCTAGGTCCAGGATAACCTCAAAGGTGGGAAGCAAATTAAAGAATGCTATGAGCTGACTCACGGCCCCCAGACGGAAGCTAGGAAGTTCTTCCCATGTATGGGGGTGCGCTCGCTGAACCCTTGGGTTGAGTAGTGGACGCACAATTGGCGCACGGCACAGTCGCTGTCAACCTCCATAGCCCATCCTGATGGTCAGACCTCCTGAACGGAGAACCGGCTTCAGTCGTGGAAGCTACTATTTGGTACAGAGGGTAGGAGGTAAGGCATAATAAAGGTTCACGTGACCGAATGGAGCAAAAGAACACTTGGTGTCATAGTCAGGCTTGAGGCTACTTGGGATGAAAGGAATGGGTACTAGACCTGTCCTCTAGCTGTCTTCAGTCCATAACAGCTGCCCTCTAGGTCCAGGATAACCCCAAAGATGGGAAGCAAATTCAAAAATGCTATGAGCTGAAATGCCATATTAGCATCGTTCATGATGCACGTGTCCACGTTACATTCCGTGCCCTGCCTTGTGAATTTTAAAGACGACTGGAATGTTGGAATTATCTGAAATGAAACGAGCCAAGGAATTGAACACAAAACCTATTCATGACACCCCGCTGCGTGGCCGAGAGGTTAAGGCGTTGGACTCGAAATCCAATGGGGGTTTCCCCACGCAGGTTCAAACCCTGCTCGCAGTAGCTGTCAGCAGCAGATGAGCATATTGACATCATCTGATTTTACCTGAGGTAGAAAGAATTACACTGGACTGAGCAAAAGCACACCTTGGAATTCATTCTGTCACATTTAATGAAAAATGAACCTACCTTTTAGGGAATCAAAATCTGATCTTCAATGTGGTAGGTATCAACACTGTGTAAGTAATCACTACACAGACTTTCCAGCTCTTACAGGTAGATGTATGCATTGTACCCCTTTTATGGCCACGTGACATAGACTCACGGCCCCCAGACGGAAGCTAGGAAGTTCTTCCCATGTATGGGGTATGCTCGCTGAACCCTTGGGTTGAGTAGTGGACACACAATTGGCGACGGCACAGTCGCTGTCAACCTCCATAGCCCATCCTGATGGTCAGACCTCCTGAACGGAGAAACGGGTTTGAGTCGTGGAAGCTACTATTTGGTACAGAGGGGTAGGAGGTAAGGCATAATAAAGGTTCACGTGACCGAATGGAGCAAAAGAACACTTGGTGTCATAGTCAGGCTTGAGGCTACTTGGGATGAAAGGAATGGGTACTAGACCTGTCCTCTAGCTGTCTTCAGTCCATAACAGCTGCCCTCTAGGTCCAGGATAACCTCAAAGGTGGGAAGCAAATTAAAGAATGCTATGAGCTGAATTGCCATATTAGCATCCTTCATGATGCACGTGTCCATGCCATATCTGCGCCCTGCCTTGTGAATTTTAAAGACGACTGGAATGTTAAAATTATCTGAAATGAAACGAGCCAAGGAATTGAACACAAAACCTGTTTACGACACCTCCGTTGTGATAGTTGAGAGGTTAAGGCGTTGGACTCGAAATCCAATGGGGTTTCCCCACGCAGGTTCAAACCCTGCTCGTAGCATGTCAGCAGTAGATGAGCATATTGACATCATCTGATTTTACCTGAGGTAGAAAGAATTACACTGGACTGAGCAAAAGCACACCTTGGAATTCATTCTGTCACATTTAATGAAAAATGAACCTACCTTTTAGGGAATCAAAATCTGATCTTCAATGTGGTAGGTGTCAACACTGTGTAAGTAATCACTACACAGACTTTCCAGCTCTTACAGGTAGATGTATGCATTGTACTCCTTTTATGGCCACGTGACATAGACTCACGGCCACCAGACGGAAGCTAGGAAGTTCTTCCCATGTATGGGGTATGCTCGCTGAACCCTTGGGTAGTAGTGGACCACAATTGCGCCACGGCACAGTCGCTGTCAACCTCCATAGCCCATCCTGATGGTCAGACCGCCTGAACGGAGAAACGGCTTCAGTCGTGGAAGCTACTATTTGGTACAGAGGGGTAGGAGGTAAGGCATAATAAAGGTTCACGTGACCGAATGGAGCAAAAGAACACTTGGTGTCATAGTCAGGCTTGAGGCTACTTGGGATGAAAGGAATGGGTACTAGACCTGTCCTCTAGCTGTCTTCAGTCCATAACAGCTGCCCTCTAGGTCCAGGATAACCTCAAAGGTGGGAAGCAAATTAAAGAATGCTATGAGCTGACTCACGGCCCCCAGACGGAAGCTAGGAAGTTCTTCCCATGTATGGGGTATGCTCGCTGAACCCTTGGGTTGAGTAGTGGACGCACAATTGGCGCACGGCACAGTCGCTGTCAACCTCCATAGCCCATCCTGATGGTCAGACCTCCTGAACGGAGAAACGGCTTCAGTCGTGGAAGCTACTATTTGGTACAGAGGGGTAGGAGGTAAGGCATAATAAAGGTTCACGTGACCGAATGGAGCAAAAGAACACTTGGTGTCATAGTCAGGCTTGAGGCTACTTGGGATGAAAGGAATGGGTACTAGACCTGTCCTCTAGCTGTCTTCAGTCCATAACAGCTGCCCTCTAGGTCCAGGATAACCCCAAAGATGGGAAGCAAATTCAAAAATGCTATGAGCTGAAATGCCATATTAGCATCCTTCATGATGCACGTGTCCACGTTACATTCCGTGCCCTGCCTTGTGAATTTTAAAGACGACTGGAATGTTAAAATTATCTGAAATGAAACGAGCCAAGGAATTGAACACAAAACCTATTCATGACACCTCCGCTGCGATGGCCGAGAGGTTAAGGCGTTGGACTCGAAATCCAATGGGGTTTCCCCACGCAGGTTCAAACCCTGCTCGTAGCTTGTCAGCAGCAGATGAGCATATTGACATCATCTGATTTTACCTGAGGTAGAAAGAATTACACTGGACTGAGCAAAAGCACACCTTGGAATTCATTCTGTCACATTTAATGAAAAATGAACCTACCTTTTAGGGAATCAAAATCTGATCTTCAATGTGGTAGGTGTCAACACTGTGTAAGTAATCACTACACAGACTTTCCAGCTCTTACAGGTAGATGTATGCATTGTACCCCTTTTATGGCCACGTGACATAGACTCACGGCCCCCAGACGGAAGCTAGGAAGTTCTTCCCATGTATGGGGTATGCTCGCTGAACCCTTGGGTTGAGTAGTGGACACACAATTGGCGCACGGCACAGTCGCTGTCAACCTCCATAGCCCATCCTGATGGTCAGACCTCCTGAACGGAGAAACGGCTTCAGTCGTGGAAGCTACTATTTGGTACAGAGGGGTAGGAGGTAAGGCATAATAAAGGTTCACGTGACCGAATGGAGCAAAAGAACACTTGGTGTCATAGTCAGGCTTGAGGCTACTTGGGATGAAAGGAATGGGTACTAGACCTGTCCTCTAGCTGTCTTCAGTCCATAACAGCTGCCCTCTAGGTCCAGGATAACCTCAAAGGTGGGAAGCAAATTAAAGAATGCTATGAGCTGAATTGCCATATTAGCATCCTTCATGATGCACGTGTCCACGTTACATTCCGTGCCCTGCCTTGTGAATTTTAAAGACGACTGGAATGTTAAAATTATCTGAAATGAAACGAGCCAAGGAATTGAACACAAAACCTGTTTACTGACACCTCGCGTGTGATAGTTGAGAGGTTAAGGCGTTGGACTCGAAATCCAATGGGGTTTCCCCACGCAGGTTCAAACCCTTCTCGTAGCATGTCAGCAGTAGATGAGCATATTGACATCATCTGATTTTACCTGAGGTAGAAAGAATTACACTGGACTGAGCAAAAGCACACCTTGGAATTCATTCTGTCACATTTAATGAAAAATGAACCTACCTTTTAGGGAATCAAAATCTGATCTTCAATGTGGTAGGTGTCAACACTGTGTAAGTAATCACTACACAGACTTTCCAGCTCTTACAGGTAGATGTATGCATTGTACCCCTTTTATGGCCACGTGACATAGACTCACGGCCCCCAGACGGAAGCTAGGAAGTTCTTCCCATGTATGGGGTATGCTCGCTGAACCCTTGGGTTGAGTAGTGGACGCACAATTGGCGCACGGCACAGTCGCTGTCAACCTCCATAGCCCATCCTGATGGTCAGACCGCCTGAACGGAGAAACGGCTTCAGTCGTGGAAGCTACTATTTGGTACAGAGGGGTAGGAGGTAAGGCATAATAAAGGTTCACGTGACCGAATGGAGCAAAAGAACACTTGGTGTCATAGTCAGGCTTGAGGCTACTTGGGATGAAAGGAATGGGTACTAGACCTGTCCTCTAGCTGTCTTCAGTCCATAACAGCTGCCCTCTAGGTCCAGGATAACCTCAAAGGTGGGAAGCAAATTAAAGAATGCTATGAGCTGAATTGCCATATTAGCATCCTTCATGATGCACGTGTCCACGTTACATTCCGTGCCCTGCCTTGTGAATTTTAAAGACGACTGGAATGTTAAAATTATCTGAAATGAAACGAGCCAAGGAATTGAACACAAAACCTAGTTATGACACCTCCGTTGCGATGGCCGAGAGGTTAAGGCGTTGGACTCGAAATCCAATGGGGTTTCCCCACGCAGGTTCAAACCCTGCTCGTAGCGTGTCAGCAGTAGATGAGCATATTGACATCATCTGATTTTACCTGAGGTAGAAAGAATTACACTGGACTGAGCAAAAGCACACCTTGGAATTCATTCTGTCACATTTAATGAAAAATGAACCTACCTTTTAGGGAATCAAAATCTGATCTTCAATGTGGTAGGTGTCAACACTGTGTAAGTAATCACTACACAGACTTTCCAGCTCTTACAGGTAGATGTATGCATTTTACCCCTTTTATGGCCACGTGACATAGACTCACGGCCCCCAGACGGAAGCTAGGAAGTTCTTCCCATGTATGGGGTATGCTCGCTGAACCCTTGGGTTGAGTAGTGGACGCACAATTGGCGCACGGCACAGTCGCTGTCAACCTCCATAGCCCATCCTGATGGTCAGACCGCCTGAACGGAGAAACGGCTTCAGTCGTGGAAGCTACTATTTGGTACAGAGGGGTAGGAGGTAAGGCATAATAAAGGTTCACGTGACCGAATGGAGCAAAAGAACACTTGGTGTCATAGTCAGGCTTGAGGCTACTTGGGATGAAAGGAATGGGTACTAGACCTGTCCTCTAGCTGTCTTCAGTCCATAACAGCTGCCCTCTAGGTCCAGGATAACCTCAAAGGTGGGAAGCAAATTAAAGAATGCTATGAGCTGACCACGGCCCCCAGACGGAAGCTAGGAAGTTCTTCCATGTATGGGGTACGCTCGCTGAACCCTTGGGTTGAGTAGTGGACTGCACAATTGGCGACGGCACTGTCGCTGTCAACCTCCATAGCCCATCCCGATGGTCAGACCGCCTGAACGGAGAAACGGCTTCAGTCGTGGAAGCTACTATTTGGTACAGAGGGGTAGGAGGTAAGGCATAATAAAGGTTCACGTGACCGAATGGAGCAAAAGAACACTTGGTGTCATAGTCAGGCTTGAGGCTACTTGGGATGAAAGGAATGGGTACTAGACCTGTCCTCTAGCTGTCTTCAGTCCATAACAGCTGCCCTCTAGGTCCAGGATAACCTCAAAGGTGGGAAGCAAATTAAAGAATGCTATGAGCTGACTCACGGCCCCCAGACGGAAGCTAGGAAGTTCTTCCCATGTATGGGGTATGCTCGCTGAACCCTTGGGTTGAGTAGTGGACGCACAATTGGCGCACGGCACAGTCGCTGTCAACCTCCATAGCCCATCCTGATGGTCAGACCTCCTGAACGGAGAAACGGCTTCAGTCGTGGAAGCTACTATTTGGTACAGAGGGGTAGGAGGTAAGGCATAATAAAGGTTCACGTGACCGAATGGAGCAAAAGAACACTTGGTGTCATAGTCAGGCTTGAGGCTACTTGGGATGAAAGGAATGGGTACTAGACCTGTCCTCTAGCTGTCTTCAGTCCATAACAGCTGCCCTCTAGGTCCAGGATAACCCCAAAGATGGGAAACAAATTCAAAAATGCTATGAGCTGAAATGCCATATTAGCATCCTTCATGATGCACGTGTCCACGTTACATCTCCGTGCCCTGCCTTGTGAATTTTAAAGACGACTGGAATGTTGGAATTATCTGAAATGAAACGAGCCAAGGAATTGAACACACAAACCTATTATCTTACGCTCTCTGCGATGGCCGAGTGTTTAAGGTGTTGGACTCGAAATCCAATGGGGTTTCCCCCCCCGTTCAGGTACAAACCCTCGTGCCGCGTGTCAGCTGTAGATGGACATATTTTTATTGACATCATCTGATTTTACCTGAGGTAGAAAGAATTACACTGGACTGAGCAAAAGCACACCTTGGAATTCATTCTGTCACATTTAATGAAAAATGAACCTACCTTTTAGGGAATCAAAATCTGATCTTCAATGTGATAGGTGTCAACACTGTGTAAGTAATCACTACACAGACTTTCTAGCTCTTACAGGTAGATGTATGCATTGTACCCCTTTTATGGCCATGTGACATGGACTCACCGGCCCCCAGACGGAAGCTAGGAAGTTCTTCCCATGTATGGGGTATGCTCGCTGAACCCTTGGGTTGAGTAGTGGGCGCCAATTGGCGCCGGCACAGTCGCTGTCAACCTCCATAGCCCATCCTGATTGTTAGACCTCCTGAACGGAAAAACGGCTTCATGCGTTGGGAAGCTACTATTTGGTACAGAGGGGTAGGAGGTAAGGCATAATAAAGGTTCACGTGACGAATGGAGCAAAAGAACACTTGGTGTCATAGTCAGGCTTGAGGCTACTTGGGATGAAAGGAATGGGTACTAGACCTGTCCTCTAGCTGTCTTCAGTCCATAACAGCTGCCCTCTAGGTCCAGGATAACCTCAAAGGTGGGAAGCAAATTAAAGAATGCTATGAGCTGAATTGCCATATTAGCATCCTTCATGATGCACGTGTCCACGTTACATTCCGTGCCCTGCCTTGTGAATTTTAAAGACGACTGGAATGTTAAAATTATCTGAAATGAAACGAGCCAAGGAATTGAACACAAAACCTATTTATGACACCTCCGCTGTGATAGTCAGGCTTGAGGCTACTTGGGATGAAAGGAATGGGTACTAGACCTGTCCTCTAGCTGTCTTCAGTCCATAACAGCTGCCCTCTAGGTCCAGGATAACCTCAAAGGTGGGAAGTAAATGAAAGAATGCTATGAAGCGACTCACTTGCCCCCATTTTTGCACGGAAGCTAGGAAGTTCTTCCCATGTATGGGGTATGCTCGCTGAACCCTTGGGTTGAGTAGTGGACGCACTGTTGGCGCCCGGCACAGTCGCTGTCAACCTCCATAGCCCATCCTGATGGTCAGACCTCCTGAACGGAGAAACGGCTTCAGTCAGTCGGAAGCTACTATTTGGTAGAGGGTAGGGGTAAAGGCATAATAAAGGTTCACGTGGCCGAAATGGAGCAAAAGAACACTTGGTGTCATAGTCAGGCTTGAGGCTACTTGTGATGAAAGGAATGGGTACTAGACCTGTCCTCTAGCTGTCTTCAGTCCATAACAGCTGCCCTCTAGGTCCAGGATAACCTCAAAGGTGGGAAACAAATTAAAGAATGCTATGAGCTGAATTGCCATATTAGCATCCTTCATGATGCACGTGTCCACGTTACATTCCGTGCCCTGCCTTGTGAATTTTAAAGACGACTGGAATGTTAAAATTATCTGAAATGAAACGACGCCAAGGAATTGAACACAAAACCTATTCATGACACCTCCGCTGCGATGGCCGAGGAAGTTTAAGCGTTGGACTCGAAATCCAATGGGGTTTCCCCCCGCAGGTTCAAACCCTGCTCGTAGCGTGTCAGCAGCAGATGAGCATATTGACATCATCTGATTTTACCTGAGGTAGAAAGAATTACACTGGACTGAGCAAAAGCACACTTGGAAATTCATTCTGTCACATTTAATGAAAAATGAACCTACCTTTTAGGGAATCAAAATCTGATCTTCAATGTGGTAGGTATCAACACTGTGTAAGTAATCACTACACAGACTTTCCAGCTCTTACAGGTAGATGTATGCATTGTACCCCTTTGCTGACGTGACATAGACTCACGGCCCCCAGACGGAAGCTAGGAAGTTCTTCCCATGTATGGGGTATGCTCGCTGAACCCTTGGGTTGAGTAGTGGACGCACAATTGGCGCCGGCACAGTCGCTGTCAACCTCCATAGCCCATCCTGATGGTCAGACCGCCTGAACTGAGAAACGGCTTCAGTCGTGGAAGCTACTATTTGGTACAGAGGGGTAGGAGGTAAGGCATAATAAAGGTTCACGTGACCGAATGGAGCAAAAGAACACTTGGTGTCATAGTCAGGCTTGAGGCTACTTGGGATGAAAGGAATGGGTACTAGACCTGTCCTCTAGCTGTCTTCAGTCCATAACAGCTGCCCTCTAGGTCCAGGATAACCTCAAAGGTGGGAAGCAAATTAAAGAATGCTATGAGCTGACTCACGGCCCCCCAGCGGAAGCTAGGAAGTTCTTCCCATGTATGGGGTATGCTCGCTGAACCCTTGGGTTGAGTAGTGGACGCAAGTGACGCACGGCACAGTCGCTGTCAACCTCCATAGCCCATCCTGATTGTCAGACCTCCTGAACGGAGAAACGCGCTTCAGTCGTGGAAGCTACTATTTGGTACAGAGGGGTAGGAGGTAAGGCATAATAAAGGTTCACGTGACCGAATGGAGCAAAAGAACACTTGGTGTCATAGTCAGGCTTGAGGCTACTTGTGATGAAAGGAATGGGTACTAGACCTGTCCTCTAGCTGTCTTCAGTCCATAACAGCTGCCCTCTAGGTCCAGGATAACCTCAAAGGTGGGAAGCAAATTAAAGAATGCTATGAGCTGAATTGCCATATTAGCATCCTTCATGATGCACGTGTCCACGTTACATTCCGTGCCCTGCCTTGTGAATTTTAAAGACGACTGGAATGTTAAAATTATCTGAAATGAAACGAGCCAAGGAATTGAACACAAAACCTATTTACGACACCTCCGTTGCGATGGCCGAGAGGTTAAGGCGTTGGACTCGAAATCCAATGGGGTTTCCCCACGCAGGTTCAAACCCTGCTCGTAGCGTGTCAGCAGTAGATGAGCATATTGACATCATCTGATTTTACCTGAGGTAGAAAGAATTACACTGGACTGAGCAAAAGCACACCTTGGAATTCATTCTGTCACATTTAATGAAAAATGAACCTACCTTTTAGGGAATCAAAATCTGATCTTCAATGTGGTAGGTGTCAACACTGTGTAAGTAATCACTACACAGACTTTCCAGCTCTTACAGGTAGATGTATGCATTGTACCCCTTTTATGGCCACGTGACATAGACTCACGGCCCCCAGACGGAAGCTAGGAAGTTCTTCCCATGTATGGGGTATGCTCGCTGAACCCTTGGGTTGAGTAGTGGACGCACAATTGGCGCACGGCACAGTCGCTGTCAACCTCCATAGCCCATCCTGATGGTCAGACCTCCTGAACGGAGAAACGGCTTCAGTCGTGGAAGCTACTATTTGGTACAGAGGGGTAGGACTCGTACTCTGCATTATACAGTTTAAACAGTAGGATATCAATATCAAGATGATGATATATTATATGAAATATAGAATAAGTAAAATAGGAATAAACATGACATTTTTATGGATACCAGCCCATGTAGGGGTAATGGGGAATGAGGTGGATATGGCAACAAAACAACAGGACTAAAAAGGGAGACACGTGTTTAATATACATTCTAAGGTGGGGATTGAAAGAACCGAGTGTGGGAACAGAAGGGAAGGTACTGTAATATCCAGGCTAGGATAGTATAGGACATACTATCTTAAATTATTCCGTATACACTATAGGAAAAAGTGAGTCAGATCGATGTATATTTTGTGAAATGGCAGAAACAGTTGAGCATGTGATGTTGCAGTGTGAGCTAAACAATATAGAAAGAATTCAGTTTGTGGGAAAATTAAGAGGTCTTGGAATAGATATAATAACATTAAAATATATTTCATAGTGCATTGAGAGAGGTGAGAGTATATAGCATCTTCATTAATACTTGGGAGGGATAGGTTTGATTAGAAGGATGTAAGTGATTTTTTGGTTTTACCACTATCTGAACTTCACGCTCCATCCCTGTAGGTGGTGGTAATGCGCCTTACTTCTTCTTCTATTGTTTTATGGCGGTTGGCAAAGCTGCAGTTGCTGCTTGTAGATTTCTGACACAACTAATCGTTTATGCGTTCAAATTATATCACAGTATTGCAATTAGACTTTATTAGATTAACATTAAAACCTCGGCATTGTGTCTGTATTCACGGCTTTAAATCCCATTCTGCTTTAAAGCCCACGGTGAGTTACACTTTAGCTTGCTAAATGAGCTGCTCGGCTAACAGTGGTGGTTAAGGACCAAATAGATTTCTACTTGCTGTGTAAGTGCACTACACAGGGTAATAACACAACGGCTTCTAAACCCTGTCTAGTGCTCTATATGTCCATTGGAGAGCCATGTGAGATTCAGCCGAGGTGGAGTCGGTTCAGCTAGCTGATTTCTAAACACTGACTGGTTATTAATGTTTCTTCATTTATTTATTTACTTATTTGGAGATATTGACCACTAACGAGTCGATGTGTTTTTAAATCTGCACTAACAGCTATTATGAATGTTTCGGACTCATTGTGTAGGATGGGAATTCCAGCCCTTTTCAGTGAGTCGGATCATTTGGCTCAGCTCACCAATAAGAGTCGACTCTTTTGGCTCACTGCCTGTCTCTAACCCTGTGTTACACCACGAAGTGAAAGGTGTTGTTTGTGGGCGTGGCCTGTCCAGTGTTTGTGATGTTTTTAGAGAAAGGGTAGTGTGTGTGTGTGTGTATGTGTATATATATATATATATATATATATATATATATATATATATATATATATATATATATTAATTAGTTAAACAGAAATTAATTAATGCTTTAATCAATGTGAAACCTGGTTGGTTGTCTGATTCACATGTTACATGCTGGACTTCGTATTAACTTTGTCCTATGATTAGCAAATAATTCTAACTGTATTCTAGCTGGTAAACTCGCCAGAGGCACCAACGATCTCTGCTACTACTTTCCAAGCTTTACTTTTCTTTGTAATGTAATATTGAAAAATGACAGTACATGTAGAATATACAGTGGTGCTTTAAAGTTTAACCCTTTGGAATTTTATATAGATGGGCCA